TCACTTCTCTCTCTCTCTCTCTCTCTCTCTCTCTCTCTCTCTCCTTCCTTCCTTCCTTCCTTCCTTCTGCCTGCCCTCTCTCTCTCTCTCTCATCGTCACCTATCCAAAAGATTGCTATTCCCTCTCTTTTTCTCTGCTTTCTTATCCACTCTCTTTTTTCCATGTCTCCAACTGCTCAGCTTCCTATGCCCCCCATATCTATCTCTTTCTATCTTTCTATTGGAATTAGTCCTTTTTCACCACTCCAAACGCCATCTTTTCCCACATCCCAACTGATTCTTCCCAGCCTATTCACTCTCTTCTAAAGTACCCATACTACTTTCCCAAATCCATGCCTTCAGACATAACTCTCCTGTGCAACCACCCACCCACCTACCCCATCTACTGGAAGGATGCAGCTTCTTTGCACTGTTGTTGTTTTTCTTTAGCAGAGGGAACTCTGTTCCTGATTAATAGCTTCTTCTACTAATGGAAAAAAAGACCTTTCTCTCCCACCACCCACCTTGGACTAGTGAGAAGCAGCAACTTCCCTCTTTCCTTTGTTCAGAAAAGATGCAGGTTTTTTTTCACCAGCAGGGGAGGCTGTGAACCAAAATAACAGCGTCATAGCACCCTCTATTGACAAAGTAATTTTGAAAAAAAATCGCTTCCCAAAATAAAATGTAATTTAATAATAATACAGAATATGAAAACAAAAGAGCAAAATAACAAAGTTAAAACATCAGTGAATAAAGTATGAAACAAACAGCCTTTGAGTCTGACCCTTTCCATGCTGCATAAAGTGCAGTGCAACCTTCAAGCTGATGGAAGACCTCAAGAGATGCTTCTTTGCTTTCTTTCTACTACATCCTGACTCCCAGGTTGTAGAACAACACAACACTGATTGTAAGAGAAATTGGCATTTGGAGAAAGCCTACCTTGGAATTGTTCTAAAAAGGTCATTTTTTTCGTTAATTTTGCAATATTTTATGAGGATGGGAGATACGTAGTTTTCCGTTTACCTGATCAGTGCAAGTGAATAGCAGCTGCTCTAATTTTTTGTTCTAGTCCTCTTATTCAGCTGCCACAACTGCTATGCTATTTGTGAACCTTGATTAGTATGGAATAACTACTTTTCTGCAGCCAATTCTTTCAGATGATTTCTATGATAAATGAGCATAGCACTGAAAGTTACTGAGGTCAAAGGCATTTTCTTGTATGGAAATGTGTACAAATTCCAACATTCACATTCATTGTCCAGAAAAATGTAATAATCTAACTTATTACCATAGAATGTTAGAGTTGGAAGAGGCCAAAACCATAGAGTCTCCTTGCTCAGTGCAGGATCCAACACAGCATCTCTGATGGGTGACCATAGAATTCTATTTGAAGACCTCTAGCAAAGGAGAACTAACCATGTCTTGTGACAGTCTGTTTCACCATCTGACAGCTCCTACTGTCAAGAAGGGTCTCTTGATGTCTAGCCTGAATCTGTTTCCTGTAGTTTTAACCCATTGGTTCTGATCCTGTCCTCTGGGGCAAAAGAGAATAAGTCCATTCCCACGTTACATATTTGAATGGTAATTATTTTCCCCACTTTATCTCTATCTTTTCTGTAAACATACCCAGATCCTGGTTTCCAGACCCTTCTCCAACTTGGTAGCTTTCCTCTAAACTTACTCTAATTTGTTACTATTCTTTTTGAACAGTGATGCCCAGAATTAGACATAGTACCACAAGTATCGACTAAGGCAGAGTGGAGTGGAACAACTACTTCCTATGATCTGGACTCTGTGCTCTTGTTAATGTACCCCAATAGAGCATTTGTCTTTTTTGTAGCTGCATAACACTGTTGGCTTAGGTCTAACCTCAGGTCAACAAGGATGCCCAGATCCTTTTCCAATGTACCAAACCAGCTCCCATCTTATACTTGTGGCTTACATTTTTTTGTATCCAAATGCAGAAGTTTATATTTCTCCTTCTCCATTTCCATTATATTCATTTCAGCTCACTGCTTAAACATGGCTGGATCTTTCTGAACCCCCTTTTTTTCACCTAAAGTATTAGCTACTGTTCCCAGCTTTTTGTCATCTGCATATTATTTAAGTGTCTTTAGCTGTTTTCTCAACTCACTCATCCAAGTTATTGATAAAAGTGTTGAATAGCATAGAATCCTGTGGCACTCCACTCGGTAATTCCCTCTAAGCTGAAGTGGAGCCATTAATGAGCACTTTTTGAGTGCAGTCATTCAGCCAACTGTGAGTAACAGTAGTAACATGTAGCCCAATTTGTACCATTTTAGAAGGAGAATATTTTGAGGCATTCTCTGAGAAAATTTGCTGACCAGGGTTAAAATGATGTGGTTTCTGGTAGCTGTTAATGGAATTTTTTTTTGACCAGGATTGAATGACGAGGCTTTAAAGATTTGTTTATAAATGGGGAGAGATTTCTTTTGTTTTATTCCTCAGAGAAAGTGATAAGTTGGAATACAAAATGGATTTATCTGATTAAGGGTAAAATATATATGTTATTATTTCTGATAGCTCTTAATGGACCTTTGCTGATGAATTTTTACAATTTATTTATTGATAAAAGATAAGATATGGGAAGAAGAGATCTTTTTTAAATTGAAGCACTAGAGAAGGTGTTAAGTTACTGAAGCTGTTTATACTTGTCTGGAGGAAGGGGAGAGTCATTCTTTTATATATCTCTTTTTCTTATTTTTTTCCTTTTCTTTTTTCTCTCTCTTTGCACTTTTCTTTCTCTTTTCTTCACATTTTATATTTTTCCTAGTTTGTATTAGTCTTTTATCTTTGTACTTGTAAACTTTAATAAAATTATTACAAACAAAACAAAGCAAAAGGCTGCTGCTGGTTGAGAGAAAGATCTGGGCAGACCCCATGTCATTAAACTATTAAAGATCATAAGTTTGATCACTTTCATTCTACTCTTTTTTTTTTTTTTAACTCATAAAGGTGCTGTATTAAAGTCCCTGGGTTTTTTTCCCCCTCCATTTTAAATATGGGCCTCTCCTTAGGAGCAATCCAGAAGATTAAAAACCTGTAGCCTGGTCCTTGTTCCTGAGTCATGACTGTGACAGAATTTCTTTTACTCACACTTGCTACATGGAGGGAGGAGATATACATCAAAGGACACTGTCTTTTGTACCTTTTTATGCCATAATATCTCAACCACATTCTTCTTAAAGCTTGGAACTAAAGCTAATTCTGCATATGTTGTTTTTAATTATTATTAATGCGTATTTCATGTTTTTGTTCGCATTCCTTTTTTTATTTTCCTTCTCATTTTCAGCATTCTGGTATCAGATGATCTTGCCTCCTAATTTTGATGAGTCGAAAAAGTATCCCTTGCTCATTGATGTGTAAGTCAAACTACCTTTTTACCTTTATTTATTTATGTTTTATTGATGTTGCAATTGATGTATATATTTATGTATTATCTGCCTAATGTTTTGTGGGTGCTGTACAAAGATTAGACGAAGTAAGACAGCAAAACTGGCTTACTCAGGCCTGAATGCTACAAATTGTTCTCATGAGCACCAGCTTGGATAGAGACAGTTCAGGGAGATGCAAGTCATCATTCAGTAAGCTGATGTCCCATTTCTTCTGCGCAGAAGGCATGGTTGCCAATAAATTACTGTAGAGGAAGAGGAGGAACTTATTGGCATCTGGTTTCATATTCTCTCAGAGGGCTTTCATGGAGTTATCAGATAAACACGAGCAACAGCTCTGCACGAGCAGGCTTAGAAGAAAAAGAGCAGCCTAGTTCCACATTTCTATGTTGTCTTACAAATTTTATTTCAGGATACCAACAAAAAGGTTTCTAACAAGTTTCAGTGATAAACATTTAAGTGTTCAAGGTGCTCCAAGACTTTATTGCCTTTATTAAAACAGTCTGATTTGGCTTCCCTCTGAAAATTGTCAGGGCGACAATTAATTTGTGGTACAGTAAAGCATATTGGTTCTGAAGTAGGGCTATCAGACATAGGCTGTAATAAGCCAAGCAACTGTATAGGGCAGCAAAGAGTCAAGAGTTTTCTGTGGCTCACTGGTGCCATCTAGTGGCTGTTCAAAAACTGCAGTGATCGCTGAAGCTGTCCTGGTTTGCAACAAGTCACAGTGATGGGGAATGATGTTATGAGGCAAACGTCACTCTTACATACGTGCATCAGACACAAATGCATAAGCCTTAGTAATTGCATCATGCCACATGTTTTGTCAATCCCCCAGATGTCTATGCCTTCAAATACTCGCAACTGTTCCAGTGAATAAAATAATGACCAGCATTCTTCATCAATTTCAAAGTCACAGTGTTGCATTAATAACATTTTATTTTTGCTGCTGATTAACAATTTTATACCTATTTCTTTCCTTCACGAAATGTAAGAAAAAAACCAAAATATAGTAGTGTGTAAATAACACAAAACTTTTTTTTTTTTTTGGTATACCATATGCAATAGGAATGAGTTTGTAGCTGGCTAGAATGTTAAGATATTAACTGAATTTTTCATGTTTCATTGTAAATTTATTATATTTTCTTTTGAAAATTGAAGGGATAAAGTAGATCTGAATCCGACCTGGTTTGTTGTATGTGTGTGTGTGTACACATGTGCAGATGGATATGTACATACACGCATGTATAATTCATTCCTGTTTTCTAGGCCACAAGAAGCCCAAAATGAGGGTCCACAATTTTATTCTCTTTACTCTGCACTAAATAAAGATACATCTGTATGTTAAAAAAATGACTAAAATATGTTTGAAGTTTTTTTTAGCTGAGGATGGGCCTTTTTGGTGTGCTTTTCTTTTCCTTTAACAGTGGGAGAAAACTCTGATTCTAATGCACCAGACTTCATGAAAGAGACATAACTGAATCACTTTTGACTTATAAAGCTTAAATTATATTTGTGGAAAATAGAAAAATCATGTTGTTTAAATTAATATAGCAATATAATCCACAGAGAAGGGAAAGTAGCTAAAACATTTGTAACATGAATGCCCATTTAGTCAAGAGTTTGCAAACAATAGTTGTAAGGCAGGACTGTTCTTTAGAGTTGCTATTTTGTGAAACTGACCTTTGTCAACTATATAAAGTCAATGCATAAAAAAGAGCAATGAGAAATAGCCTTTAGTAGGTCTTAATTGTGATTTTGCTATGAGGTATATGCAGGAACTTAGCAAGTAAAGTCAGGATTCTGCTGGAAAGGAGCTGTTCTGTTAAATCCTCTGACATGTCTATTTAAATAAATAGGAATACTATAGATCAGGACTACAGTTTGCAATTAAGTAAAAACAATGGCCAAAGGATAACTACCGTTAAGAAAAATGTGAATTAGACAATTGCACTTTATGTGTACTTCTTTACTGAACCTGACCCTGCAAATATAATTTAGAAATATAACAAAGAAAACACACTCCCTGGATCCCGAACATATGCTGTTAATGCTATTCCTCCCTCACATTCCTCTGCACATATTAAAGGATTTGCATTAATTAGCTTGCTTCCTGTAATCTGCAAATTATGGAAATTTGCCTTTTATAGTAAATAAATGCAAATATTCTATATTTGGTGAAAATTGGTTGTGCAAGGAATGTAGCATACAGTAGTTGCAAGCGTTTATGTTTGCTTTGTCCTATTAATTCATACAGTATTTTAAAAATAATACTGTTATGCAATTATCATTAGAATTATTAATAGTTTTCCTAATTAAAATTTCAATGAGCCATAATGAACAAGGGCTTATTAAAATTCTGAACAGCAAAAGTGGATCTTGGTACATCTTTTAAATTCATCTGAACATTAGCATTTGGATTTTAGGATAGTGTGCAGAGGGATATGATATAGGGGCTTGCATTTGGGGAGATGTAACTGGGCAGCTAATTAAGAGTATTTGAGCTTCATATACTCCGGAAGTGCTGATATTGTCAAATAAGCCTTTTCAGTGAGGAACTGGGCAAGTGACTGGGTGGTCCATGGCTGAAAGTGTTGCTGGAGCCCCAGTGGCTACAGGCAAGAGTGGCGCTACCATGCAGCACCTCAAAGGCCATTAATTAAATTTGCTGGATGAGGTATTGATACGAGACCTGATTGGTATCGGAGTGTGTTGATTGAGGCAGTAGTCTCTCACTTAGCAAATCTCAGAATGAATAATTAATTGAGCATATCATGCTTTGAATCATGGAAAAAGAGGTAGAAGGTGGTGAAACATTACCTTTTATATGTTTCAGGATGTTTAAAACTGTTGCCCATGTAATGAAGCAAGAACAAATGCTTACACCTCAAACTCAGTTTTGCTGTATTTGCACAGAGGCCGAAGGTGAACTCAGGAAGAGACAGAATGTAGAATATAGATCGAATCTAAGTCTGATTTAATGTACAGTCATTTAATTCAACAGGACTTAGTCATGAGCGTTTAATGTTATTTTAGATTCTATCTTTCTTCCAAGAGCTTCAGGGACATACATGGTTATCCTCAACTTCACAATAAATTAGATTAGGCTGGTCCAAATTCACCCACTGTGTTTCATGAGAGAATGGGGGGTTCTAACTTCCTACTGGATATGTTCTAAGTTAAACAAAGTTCCACGGCAACCATAAAGGAAGGAAGGAAATAAAAAATTAAGCTTATTATTTTACAAGACAATGATGAAATAATTCAGTGGAGAGGGTTAAATGGAAGTTAAGATAAAATTCTACCACAGGGTTCATGTACTGATTATGCCAGAAAAATATTATATGATTCAGTCTCCTTTCCTATCATTTTGTAATCAGGAAAGTTAAGTTTTCTTTATTTAGAGTCTTCTTTGTAAATACCATTCTTATTAGAAGCTATTAATTTTACCCCTAAATTGCTGTCTGTATTGCTGCTTTTGAATTTCTAGCCAGATTTGTCTATAGTGAAATAAACATTCAATATAGCTAAAGCCAGACAAATAATAAGAAATTAGGAATCTAGCATACCATACATTTGTTGAAACTGAATCTTAGTTTTATTGTTACAGTGTTTCTGGCAAGCTCGGGTGAAGAGTAGGCTGCTGGACACCTTCTCTTCCAATCAGACTCCCTATTTATATAGAAATTTGGAAACAGCAGAACCAATAGAGCACAGCATGCATCAAGTCAGCCAACCTTCTTTCCACAGGTATGCAGGGCCTTGTAGTCAGAAAGCAGATGCTGCCTTCCGGATCAATTGGGCCACGTATCTGGCAAGCTCAGAAGGAATTATAGTGGCTAGCTTCGATGGTAGGGGAAGCGGCTTTCAAGGAGATAAAATTTTGCATGCAATATACCGAAGACTGGGAACCTATGAAGTTGAAGATCAGATCTCAGCAGCTAAGTATGTTTGTACCTTATTGCCTTAGTTAGGGTGATTAACACCTTAACTGGACTTCTCTCAATTTTTTTCCTTCTTGCAAATATATGTAGGTTTTGGTTGTTCTTTATTTCTCATTTTTCTGTTTACTAACTTTTATCATCCCCTCCTTATGCTAATATAAGGGTTGATTTAAAAAAAAAAACTTTCTCTAAACTTACAGCAGTTAACTTTTTTTCCTAATACACAGTTTTTGCAAACAGTTCTCATATATGTAGTTAATTACTGTACTTGCATGATATAAACATTTTTGTGCAAGCGTTTCCCTAATGTTCCCTATTTTTTTTATTGATGAATTGGATTGTAACTTTCAGAGAACTTACAATCCAAAAAAATTGAATTTTTTAAAATTTTTGATGGATAGTTGACTTGAGGTTCATATATTAGTTTGAAAATGCAGAATTAGTTTAATGCAAATACACTAATTTCTCCCCTACTCCTAATCCCAATAGCCCTCTTTCTACTTCCTTTTCTTCTTTACTGGCAATCAAGTTGTAAAAAATAGAGTAGAAAAAAGACTTGCTTGGGAATAGGTATTGAAGATTAATATTTATGTATTACATTTTAATACACCTATTCTCCAAGAAGCAAGACTGATAGGGGAAAGGTGTTTGTTACAAGGAAGAATAGGATAAGCTTTTTTCTGAGCATTTTGGGCGTTTTCTGTTTTTTTCTTAGGCTATTTTCTGAAATGAGCTTTGTTGATAAGGACAGAATAGCTATTTGGGGCTGGGTAAGTATTAAAGCTAATTGTTTTGTTAATGATCAGATTTAAAAGATTCTGCTGCCCATAAGAAAAGGTGTTTCACTTGGACACCCACTGTGGAAACACAGCAGGCATCCTTTGCAAGTTACTCACCAACATTTTAGTTGGACTTCTTTCTAAGTAGAGAAATGTTCCAACTCAAAAACTGAATTGTTGCTTCCATTTATCTCTCCCCACATCCTATGCCATTTACTGCTCTGTCACATAGAATGCTAGACAGGCTTGATCCAGCAAGGTTGTTTTTCTACAGTCTCACATTCTTTAGTGGCCGCAATAATTATTTACACCTACAGCACCATCACAGGCCTCAACAAGTACACACGCGCGATTAGAGGCACCTTCACATGCTCTTCCTCTAATGTGATATATACTGTCATCTGCCCCCTTTGTGCAAAGTTTGTCCTATGTAGAATCCATGGACACATGTTTGACTTTAGGACTCAAAACAAGGTCAAAATAATAGCATAGTATTCCAGCCTCCTAGAACACTCTGTTGCAGATCTTAAAATGACCATCTTGGTAAAACAGGATTTTAACAGCACTATTAAGTGAGAGATTGCTGAACTCACATGTATCAAATGGTTTCTGGCTATCTCAAAAGATCTCAACAAATACAGTGGGTTTTTTTAACACATTAAAATTGTTAATTGATAAAATCATTACTTGTAATCTGTCATATGTAACCTGCATCAGCATAACCAACCTGAATTCCTCTCTCCCCTGCCTCATCCCAACTTAACTCCTACAGCAGTTTAGTCATGATGAAGTTACCTGTTGCTCACAAAAGGTTTGCCTTTTAATAAAATTTGTTAGTTGGAACAGGAACTACCAGACTCCTTCTGATTCAACCTGCCCTGAGTTGCATGTCAAGTTGGTAGCTACAGTATAGAAAATGAATGAATGAATGAATGAATGAATGAATGAATGAATGAATGAATGAATGAGGGCATGTGACTATATCTCATTCTCCCTGGCCCAACCTGGGGAAGCCTCTTTTTAAAACTAAGTATCTTTATAATATGGGTTTTACTAATGGTTTTTTTGCCACAAAAGTTGGTTCAGAACATGTTTTGCCTCATTACTCAGCAAACTGACATCCAGACAAAGCTATTTTTAACCTGCACACACACACACCCCTGTGTGAGAAGAGCATTGCATCACTTTTGATCTCTTTGGAGTAATAAGTTTCCCTTTCTCCTAGTCCTATGGGGGTTATGTAACTTCCATGGCCCTTGGAGCTGGCAGTGATGTGTTCAAGTGTGGAATAGCTGTGGCACCTGTCTCACGCTGGCAATATTATGGTATGTGTTTATTCACAATAAAGTAGGAAGTTCCTTTGTCAAGTATTACAAAAGTCATAGTTGTAAATGCTATCAAGTATGAATAGTTGAGTACATAATTCTCCCATATAAAGTACCATTTGATCTGCCTTCCTGAACTCATGTGAGGTATTACACAGTGTCCCTGGATTATTATTTTTTTTCCTACTGAAAACTTGGATATGAAAGGAAGATAATCTGCTTAACCTTTAAATGGCACAAAATTACTTAATATTTGAAATTTTACTATAATGCAAATGTCTGCATTTGCATTCCTGAAAAGTGCCATGTGTTCCAAAGTGTTGAGGGATCATTTCTGAATGTCATAAAATTTGTTGGCACTGCTACCAACTTCCTTTATTACAATGAGCTCTGGAAAGAAGGGTCATATATTTAATCATTTATTAGAATATTTACCAATTAAATTATACTGCTGATTGCCTCTCATGTATACTATAGTAGATGTCAAACTGTTAGTATTAGTTTGCTTGGTGTTCTAAAAACTCCAAAAGGGAATTTTGAACATTAAAGCTGTATATTTCTGCCTCATATTTAATTCTAGTTATGGGGTGACTGAATGAGCCCTGTGATGGCTTCCCTAGCTTCTGCTTTTCACAGGGCTATGAGAGAGCATGATTTGGCCAAACTTGCTGGAAGTCAGAAAGGATGACATGTCTGGATTTATTTAAGCTCCCTCTTTTCAAGCTTTCCTGTAGAATATCAGTGCTGTTTAACTTCTTCTGTCCCACCATCAGAGGTTAAGTTTTACTGTTTTATTTTTTAAAAAAAATCATTATGTAACAAAATATACAAGACATTCATAGATTGCTCTCATTGCACATGAGTATGCTATCTCTGGACAAATCATAGTTTTGTTTTGTACTTTGAAATGATACAGAAACCTGTTTACCAAGAGGGAATATGGCATGGCTACATAGTGCACCAGCTGCCGGGTGTTGGAATATTAATTTTTTTATCACATATGTGTCCTTCCTTTCATCAAGAAGCTTAAGGCAGCAAATATGGTCGCTCTTCCACTTTTCTTTTGCAAGAACCCTGCAAGGTGGCTGGAATAGTGTCATGCTACCAGATTCTTGCTAACTTACCATGACTTTCTTCAGCATCTTTGTGGGGCGTTGTGTATGTTTTCTTGCTCTGGAGAAAGGAAAATCTCTCCCTTCCTATTAGTTGGTGGCTTTGCTTCTACTGATGGAAGCAGAAAGCCAGATCCCACCTAGTGAGTAGTCCAGAGTCAACCAATGTGCTCTATGGCTGAGTGGAAATTTAAACCTGGGTCTCTAGTCATAGTCTAAGCCAGGGTTTCCCAAACTGTGAGGTGTACCTCCCTTGGGAAGGTGCAGACGGAGTCCAGGGGAGGCGTGAAGAACCTTTTGGATAATAAATCCATCATTCCCAAAGTGTCATTGTATTGTTTTGATTGTTCATTTGTGTTCATTTTGGTGTTTGGATTATTAGGGGAGCTATGTATATTAAGATTACACTGCAGGGAGGTGCGATGGGAAAATGTTTGGGAACCCCTGGTCTAAGCCTTTAACCACCACTTTAAACTAGAGATGGGTAAGATGCAGCTATTGTCTACTCCATAGGGCGTGGCTAAGGGTCTGGGGGCACTGGGAAATCATCTAGTTTTTTATGGTTGTGGGCGGGGGGTATTTTGGGGACAGTCAAAAAGTCTAGATGGGGGCCACAGCCACATGACTCACATACACTCTGCCAGATGCCCCTTGTCTGGGGATTATTATTTTTTTAATGCTTGAAATGAAATAAACAAACAATGTGCTGGGGGGAAAAAAAATCAAGAAACTTTTGATGGTTTGTTACAGCATCCTAAAAGAAATAGATTTGTTTTGATAGTATCCTTAGTTTATTGCAATTCAGCCAGAGAAACAGACTCAGTGAAACTTCCATTTTCTTTCCAGTTTATGAGAGAATAATATTACTTTGGCATAAGGTTGCTGAGAATAATTAATAATGCTGTTGCTATGGACAACTGCATACTGAATATTTAGAAATGTGATTATCTTCGGTGCTTATTATTAAGAAAACAGTAAATTTGGGGGGGGGGCAGGGAGTTAGCACAATAAAGCATTCACTATATTGGTAAGTAGAAGCCAATGAATGCCAGAGTTAAATAAGTAAGCATACCCTATAGATATCGCATAATACCTTCTTTCTCTGCTCCCCCCCATCCCAGATTCTATATATACTGAACGCTACATGGGTTTGCCTGAAAAAAACGATAACCTGGATAACTATGAGGTAAGAAAATGTCTTTGACATTTCACTTTAGAATAAGAAAGGAACAGTGCAAGCTGAAACTCACTCAGCCTGACATCCACTCACACACTGGGACTTTATCTTCCTTTCTTCCCTGTACTTCCACAATCAACTTTGGATCACACACGTTCACATACCTCAAGTCCTACAGAACATGTGAGGAACATAGGAAGCAAGCAGAGACAAAAATTGCTCTCCTTCCTATCCTGCTTATGGAGAAGTGGTTACATGGTTGGTTATCTGTTTAGGGCATCAGAAACAACACTTGTTCTACGTGAAGAATACTCTAGCAGATTCTGTTGAGTGTTGCTAATATATTCCAGATGTTTCCTAAATTATTTACAGTGTTTTGCAATATTCTAAAGGTTAGGTTCCTCCATTTGTTTGTAATATGGATTCCATCTGTTCTCTATTAGAATATAAATATTTATAAATATCTTTTGCAAAACTGTTTTTAATTTATTAAAGAAATGAATTTGGTATGTTATTTGATATACCCATGTGTAAACCAGTTTGGGCTCTGAGCAAATTTTTAATACTCTAATAATCTACAATCTCTGGGCTGCAGTAATCTAGACAGTCATTAGATGGCAGCAAGCTATCCTTTGCTGCTTTTAGTGTTGTCTGAATTTTTGCAACCCAAAGATTGTAGCCCTATTTAACATTGCACCACTTGGCAAGTTCATCATGAGAACATGGCTGCATGGAATTGACCAAACCTCATAAAAGCATCTTTTCCTTCCTTCCCTCTTTCTTTTCTTTCTTAACCTGTAGCATTTCTCCACTAGGACAGATTTAGGCATTGAATTTACTTGACTTTTGCAGTTTGCCCTGCAGTTGAAATGGTAGAATCTCCAGGAGCAGTGAGGTATAAGCCTGAGATCTATCTCTGCTGCATTGCTCTTAAACAAGCACATCTTCTGTTATATCTGCTGTTGCAGGGTCTGCATATGCCAGTGCATACTTTTTTACTGCCCCTGTAAATTTTGTGCTCAATATGTTGTGTGCATATTTCTGTTTCTTCAGTACCACCTATATGATGCATTTGCTCCAAAGAGATCTTTATGGAAAACCTTAGACATTATGTTTCTAAGCATACTGTTTCTCATTTTCCCATTATGTCGAGATAACAATTCATATGCACTCTGCCATGTCCACAGTGTTTAAACACCTATTGAGGTGTGCAGAAACTGTTCAGAAATGAAATGGATGTGCATGTTGAGAGTGTACATCTGATCAGGAGATCTAAAATGGGTGGAAGATGCAAAAATGTTGTTTTGAAAGTTAAAGTTGATATGTATAGACATAGAAATAGATATGGAACTGAATTAACACACTGACTACATACAGTCACAAAACCCATAGTGGGCAAAAGGAGAAGAATTTTGCTGAGAACACCTGCTATCCTGTCTCTGCTCCTCCAATTGCTACTTATTGAAGAAGCATCCATTTAACAAATGCTGCTACTGGGCATCTGCTATACAGGGTTGCCTTTAATGAGGGGAAGGGGAAGAGTGAAAGATGGAAAAAAAGCCTAACTGCTAATAAATAAAATGAGAGCTTGATAACCAGATAATTTTTTTAGTACTTAAAAACCTAAGATGGGCAGCCAGACAAATCTTTTAAATAAATAAACCTGGATTTCTGCAAATTTGAGAACCAGTTTGGAATAGTAGTTAAGATACCAAGCTAGAAACCAGGAGACCGAGAGTTAGTTCCACCTTAGGCATGAAGCCAGCTGGGTGACCTTGGGCCCGCGATTCTCTCTTAGCCCTAGGAAGGAGGCAATGGCAAACCACTTCTGAAAAACCTTGCCAAGAAGACTGCAGCGACTTGTCTAGGCAGTAACAAGGAGTCGAAAACTGATTCAAAGGCACCCCCCAAAAAACAAACAAAAAATTAAAAAACCCAACCCTTAAAAACCTAAGATGGGCAACCATACAAATCTATTAAATAAATAAATCCAGAGTTCTGCAAGTTTACCTATTCATGTCTCAATTTCCAGTACTGCTGCAACCTAGAAGAGTGTCACATTCGTTCCCTCCAGGCTACCTGACAAAGTAGTTAAGAGAGAACGGGATAATCATCTACTTGGCCTGGATCTTGTTTGTGGGTGGGTCCAAATGAGTTTAGTCAGTTTGCACTTCAGATTTACACATCCTATAAAATAAATAAAACTGCCAATATAATAATATCATTATAAAATTCTAGAGTGTGACTACACTTAGAATACTGTATACTGTTCTGGCCACCACACTTCAGAGAGAGTTCTGCAAGCTAAAAAAGGCAAAGAAAAGGACATCCAAAACAATTGATGGGGGTGCAACAAGCAATGAAATGTATATCATGGTGTAAAACTTGCAGCTTGTACTTGAAGGTCCTCCTTTACTGCAGTCACCTATGATTGGAGGCTAGAGAAGCTCCCCTAAGGGGAAAGATAACCAGGTCTTTAAAAAGCAAAACAAAAAGCTTGGTGTGAAGATGAGAAAGAAAAGACATGACTGGTAAAGTATTGAAAGTCATGCATAATGTAAAAAAAATGAACCGTCTTTTCCCCCTCCCCTTAGCAGACTTAGGATCATTGTATGAAAAAACATGTGGGGAAATCTGGGACTAGTGAAAGAAAGAACTTGTTTACACATTCATAATTAATTGTTGGAACTCCCTGCCATCCATGGTGCTGTTCCCTGCTATTTATTGAAATGGCTTTCAAAGTCCTGAGCACCACTAATTTTAATGACTACTTCCTGAATCATCGGTAGGCTTCTTTGAAATAGCAACTACTACAGAGCAAAGGTGGGCAACAGCTATTACCTCCATGTCCTCTTTGTGACTTTCCTCAAAGCAGTTGAGTCAAAGGTCTTTGTGAGTTTCCTGGATGCATTTGGCCGGATCCAGTCCAGTAGGGCTTTTCCGCTGCTTTCATCAAGTTACGAAGGAAATCGTTACAGTCTCTGGAGAAAATCTCTGGAGTCTGAGTTTGGCTATTTGGTGACCTATTCCGCTTCTGTCAGCTATATGAGAGATTTAAACTTAAAAAGTTGTCTGGGTTTTCAGTAAACTTTCTAATTTAAGTCCAACTAGTTATGAAGTCTTTATTCTACCATACCCATCAGTGCTTTCTATATTTGGGGAGGAGGGTTGCTTGCTGAATAACTTTGGGTTCTAGGAAGTCACTTTGTAGAGTAGCAGATCCACAAAGCCCTTATGGAATTGGAAGTCTCTTAACTTTCTACAGATTGAAATGTTAGTGCTCTGGGCGCACTGTGTCACTCTGCAGCTTCACAGCACAGATGGCACCAGAGGACTGTGTAATCTTTTTTTGCCAGGAGTCGACTTCTCTTGGCACAGCATTCATTGCTGGCAGTGTCCACGTTGAAACTGCCAGTACCCAAAAGCTAAAGGTTTCCAGTGTGTTACTCAGAGGATTAAATTGGAGAATTTGAAAGTTAGAGAGCGATGGAGACACTGAAGAGACTGTTATTGTGCACTAAATCCCTAAGGGAAGAAAAGTTAGTATTGAATTCAATTCATGTTATAAGCAGCAAGAAGTGAAAATCTTGGTTTAAAATGTAATTTGGAGTAGATTTCTCCCTTTTCAATGGCCCTAGTTTTCTTCTTATCTTGGAACAATGAATCACCTTGTTTTCACCTCTTTCTGCCTACAAAAAACAAAACAATAACAACAACAAAGAACTCACCTCAGAATATCCTCACTTTCAATAACTAAGATATCTCCTTCCTTCCTTCCTTCCTTCCTTCCTTCCTTCCTTCCTTCCTTCCTTCCTTCCTCTTGCAGAAATTTCTCCTAAAGGCATTCAGCTCAGTGCAGAACCTACAGAATCATCTTAGCTGTAACAGCGCTAAAGGTTCGTTTTATCACTCTCATTGATACTGTTATGGTACAGTAACCTTTCTAGTGTAGATAATTATATAGGCAGAAGTTCTTTCACAGAGTTCTGTCTTGTTCTCTCCAAGTTGGGGAGCACGTCCCTAAATTATTATTAAATGGATGATCACATAGTCCCAGTTTACATGTAGTCATAAAACATTCAATTATGAAGCGGCATTCCCTAACCTGGCCACCTCCAGATAGGGTTGATTGCCATTCCCACAATTGCTACTTATTTTCTCAAGGAAATTAACAAGAACATGCTGGCTGGAATTTACAGTCCCAACTTCTGTGAAGATTAATAGACTGGGGGCAGGATGTCCTGGGGCCTATGTATGTATTTCATAGTGGTATGTAGTACTGATCCATCATTGAAGAGTGCTGCTTTGGTGAAATCCAGTTTAAATCAGAACATATGGTGTCTGTTTTCACATGGCAAGTGATTCCTGTTCAAAGGCTGATCATGACAATTGGGGCAGCAGCTTCATAAGTCGCCAGCAACTCTTAAACACACTGGTATCTAATTCACACAAGCCTGTGCCCCAGTTCAGGGAGATGCCCAGCAGCTGAGCGTGTGAACATTCAAAGAGAATCATTGTGTCTGGAGATGATGAGATGACATTGGTGCTAAAATCAGTCTGTCTATAGTGTTGTGGCTGAGGCCTCCCCTTTAAACATGCATGACTTGAAATGGCAGTCATCAGGTAATGAAGATCAGCCTTTGTGCTGTTCAACTTCACAGAACACCTCATCTTTTTGAAGCTCAAAACCTATAGTACTTGCTGTGGTCAATGTTGTCATTTGAGATCTTTTACATAGATGCATAGGCTTCTGTATCCAACAAGGCTGTTCCTAAGTTGTAGTCTTCTCCCTCAGCATTGGAACAAGTGCCGTAAAAGAGAACAAGGAGGAGACCCTGATGCATTATTACACAGTAGGAATAATAATCAGTGGTATCGTGGACAAGTCACTCCACAAGTGTCTCTGGATTGCAAACTAGAGGAGATTTTAAGTCAGATCAGCTCTAAAACTGTACAGTTCCCAAAGGAAGATCAAGAGAAAGCCTGAAGGAAACCAGACTGACATGTGCAAGGGGAGGGGGGAGGCCTGAATTGATGACTTGGGGGGGCGGGAAGGAAGGGCGATGTAGACAGTAGCTGTCATGTGCTGCCAGAAGACCATGCACTGGAGGGGGGGACTGTTAAACTTGTGAAAGAGGTTGTTTTGCAGCTCTCTCTGAATTTGATATGCTGTTGGCAAGTATTCGAAGCAGTCATAGATTTGGCAATCTTCTACTAGCAGATTTGAAATGTTCATTCCTCAAGAACTGCTGCATCATTAGGTTATGCAAAACAGGGAACAATTTTGTAAATATGCCATCTTGTACTGATATGACATTTATTCTATTATCCAAGAAATATGCCAAAGGGAGAGAGACCTTCAGATTCCAGCCAAATATTAACTTGTTTATTGAGTGCTGGTAAAATGTTGACTGCTGTTTGATCTTTTCACAAAGCGAGCACTCCTTGCTGTGGCCTTAGTGTTAAGGAGGAGCAGAGGGCATTTTTACAGCTGGATTCACGAAAACAGTGTAGTCATGCACAGATTGCCTTGCCTGAAAAAGATTCCTGAAGTCTGTTTCTTGGCCTCACGGGTGGGAACCCCGAGTCATTTTCTCCCTTGTAAAGACAGACTAATGGCGGCCTGGTTTATTTGATAAAGATTAGACAAATGTGGCTTAATAAATAGCAGTTGAGGATGGTGATTTCATTTTTGGCTGGTCCTTAATTCTTGGGAACAAGCTATATTCGAAACCGACCTTTTCCCCAGTTGTTCAGTCAACAAACAGAACATGTGAAGAAAAAAAAAATCAGGTCAGTTCTGCCAGAAGAATGAAGTGCTGTCAACATATTGCAGAGATGATCTCTATCTTGATTGTCACTGGACCAGATGCCATGCAGCGTACCCGTGCTGAGCTCTGCAAGCCCACAAGGGGAGCACCAGAGAACCACAGAGGAATGCAGCATTCAACTCTGTGCAGCTTTATACTTTAGTTTTACACAGATACTTCCTGCATGTGAGAAGCTGGGCTGTCTTCCTGCTGAAAAGGGGCAAATGCGTTTACCTTGCTGGCACTAATCACAAAAGGGGAACAACAGGCGTAGAGTTATTTCTGTTTATTCCCCTAAGCTAGAAGCCTGTGCTGTCAACACAAAGTTGGCAAGTGGGATGTGAGCCTTCACAAACAGAAAGAGAGAGAGAGAGCTTTGCGGGGTTGAACATGATGGCTGCCACCGATCCATGGGCACAATCTATATGTGCGAGAGATTTTTAGATTTATAGTATATTTTTATCCAGATTGCTTGGACAAGTACTAAGACACTGGATTATTGGTAGCATACATATCAGGTGCTCTGTTTACCAAAGTTGTAGTGACCAAAAAAGTATCTGTGGGGAAGTCATTTCCCTAAGCAGTGTTTTGGTTCATGCAATGTGATGCTTGCACTTATTTAGATTCATATTTTGCAATTTATCCTCAGGGCATGAACAGGAGTAGCTTTTATGTAACCCTTTAGTTATCCAGAAGTGTTTGGTAGTTGTCCAGCCATTTAGATAAATGAAGAAGTTATATTTTACCATTAAGATCAGGGTGTGATAATTAGAACATCAGCTTTGCAAGTTGATAAACCTCTCTAAGTGAACCCACAGCCATTTCATTTCCGTACTGAGAAAGTAAAATAAGATCCAGGGGTGTCATTTTTCCATCAAAGTTCTGCCTTTGGATATTTGTGATGATAGCTGAGGCTTTCATGTCATTGCTGAGAAGAACTTTGGATCTGTCTTCCCCTGGGGAACGGTCCTCAGCAGCACTTTAGAGAGAACGGCTGCCTTTGTGTCTTCTGGACTCAACTTAAGGTGCACCTTCACCACATGCGCAGAGAAGTTTTCCCATCGATGAATGCTATATGAATAGCATGTTCATAGAGACACCACCTTCATTTTCCTTTTGAATTAAAAAAGCAATTTGTTCTATTAATTTGTATTTGAGTCACACTGAGGATTACATTTGCTTATTTATTTTTACATTTTTTCCTGTTTTAGAACTCCACAGTTATGGCCAGAGCAAAAAACTTTCGAAAAGTTGACTATCTCCTGATCCACGGAACAGCAGATGGTAAGCAGAATTTAGTTAGACCTCACTGAACATACAGAGTGCGGTTCTGTTAGTAATAAAATGAAATGCCAAAAGGCAATGCAGGACCACAGCCTTGAGGACAACTTTGTTCATTTGTGCATGTCTAATAAATATCTAGTAAAAAGGTCTGTGATTAATTCTCCCTTCCTTCACTACATCCTGGTGATAGTCTGCTTGTATTGTGACAGTTTATCTATTTGTTTGTTCTTAATTCCTAGATAATGTTCATTTTCAGCAAGCAGCCCAGATTTCAAAAGCTCTGGTTGAGGCGCAGGTGGATTTCCAAGCAATGGTATGTGATGGAATTCATCAGCAGCTTAGTAGACATGTGGTTTAAATTCTAAAGGAAGAAATAAATATAAGAAAAGGAGGCTAGGTTTGTCAAAGGGGACGTACAAGTCACCAAAATCAAAGTTGCAGATATGAAACTATAGAAATAGATGCATGTGCATTTTCTTTAAAGTGAAGAGTTGGTTTCATTTGCTGAAAAGCTCCAGTTATGTGCAGCATCATCAATCATATATTCTTGAGTACTGTATTTGGGAAGGGAGAAGATGCAATCCAAAAAATGGGTAGTAAAGGTTTTCACTTGCCTTTTTAAGCAGCACCAATTTCGATTTCCTGCTATTGAGAGGTACTAAGGTAAGGTAAGGCGACTTGAGAATTTAAAATGGATGCATTCACAAAATGGAAACTTGCCCATTCTCAACATGGGTGCAATAGTGGGCATGGCCAACTATTTTATCAGAAAGTAAGTTAGTCTGGTTGTTTGTAACTATCCCAGTAGAACTTTATGAGGCCAAAATGTATCCTTCTAAATAACTACAGTCCTAGAAGCTGTAGCTACTTATTTTATTTTTCTTTAAAAGGACCTTTAAAGAGAAATCAGGCAGAATGGAGAGCTGGTTGAGCATCGGGGAATGTATCTAGGGCACATGGGTGCTTGTGGGTGCCAGCGCACGAAGGGCTTGCTGATGAGAGCAACCAAGCTGTTGCTATGGTTACATAAACCCCGTCATCTCCCAAATGTTCTTACCTATCCTTGAAAGTTGCAGGAGATGAATGGACCCGTAAAAGTGGATGAGGGATATTTGGCCAGGCCTTCAATCAGATGATTGGTATAGCTATGTTAATATTATCTACACCATAGTAGTATTATCTGCACTATAACTGTAGGAGCGCTCTCAGGTCTTGTCCCAGTCCTAACAGGGAGCTAAACACTAACCCTAATTCCAGCACACACAGCACGTGTGTAAGTACCAACCATCAGCTTTTCTACAAAGACAGGAGTATAGTCCCCAAAATCTCTGACCAGATCTGGGCTGCAAAAATCTGCAGCAAAGAAACACAGGGACTCTCTAGTGATTGGCTGTCCTTTAAAGGTCTTCTAGGTTTCTTAGCCCAAATCTGCTCACTCTGCCCAGTCAGGTAATCCAAACATGCTAGACCATAGTAGCTGAAAAAAGTATCTTGTACCACCTTGGGTTTATCTCCTTTATTGTCCAGTTGGATGGGAGGAACCTATTCTTGCCTCAAGGAGCGTTTTTATATAGCCTTGCCTCTTGCATAAATAGCACGTGGACTTGTTGAAGAGGGCACCCTCACCCACTTCTAGCTTCCCTCATCCCAATAGGCCACTTTTAAAATTGGGCTCTGTTCCCCAACTCTAAATGATGGTGACTAGCTATGGCTTCCTTTTGCTCTGGATGCTAAGGGTTAGGCCAGGCCCTTACATTTTAATGATTCATGTGGCTAAGACAAAAGGAAAACTGAAGGATATGCGTTCATAACTTATATAAATAAGACAAAGATGAATTTCCAGTGCTGAGAAGATTCCAGTCAGGTTTTCAGGCTGCAGTCTTATGGTGTGTAGGTACCTGGAAGCAAATCCCCTCTAACAGAGAGACCACCTTCCCTTGCACAAGGAGTCAGGCAGAACACTGAATTGCTGCCTTTTCCTTCCATCTTTTCCTACCCAACCCTCAAGAATTGATCTTCTGATCTTCTCTGTATGCATAACCATTAGATGATGACCAAGTGTCATCAGCATGATCAGATGATGATGACGATGACCATTTGGCTTCAACAAGACCTTTTTATATGTGAAACTTGCAAAATGTGATACAATCCACAGTTGAAAGAGTCCTGTTAATTTTTACTACAAATTAATGTTGGATTTTACCATTTTTAGCCCTCAAACAAAAAAAATCAAGGCGTTCCCTTTCTTCAAATATTTTCACTACATTATGGTTTCAGTGGCATATGAGTGTTGCTTCTATTTATCCAGCATGCTGAATGCATGTTTTATCATCTCAAGTGATAAATTATGTTATTTGCTCTGATACAAAGCACAGGGGATCCTGAACTACTATTCGTACAGTGTTCCAGTTTTATGACAGGTGCCACCTATCATTGATACTTTTTTTTTTCTTTTTTCAGTGGTATACAGATAAAGATCATGGAATTGGAGGACATGCCCACAGCCATATTTACCACCACATGAGTCATTTTATCAAACAGTGTTTTGCATTGTCATAATGTTGGGAACACCTTATCTGTCTGAAACTGGTCAGCATTTGAAGTTTTAAGAGCACCCTTCTAGTAAATTGACCCCTATTTCATTGGATGACAAAGTTAATTTGTGTGGACACTTGAATGAAGGAAGCATGTATTTTTCTTTCTGCAATTCCCTGCAGTGATCCACTGAGCACAAACCAAAGAACTGCAGAGCTCTACCATTCCTGTAGAAGCTGCTCCAGTCTTCTTACTCAAGGACTATTTTACATTTCAGTGTTTTAAAAATGCAAGTCTTCTTGCAGTATGCAACCATTGCCCTGGGTGCAGAAATCTCTCCCTTACACTTTTCTATATGGAACTGTTGTTCTTTTGAAACAAGGTTTAATTCAGGTTCACATACTGTTCATTACAAGTTAGGAAAAAAATACTTGAATTTCTATTTGAGTTCTCTACCTATTAATTTTAGCCTAAAACTTAACATTTCAATAGATATGGCTCAGTTTTAGATGGTCTTTCTTTATCTAAAGTTGTGTGGCAGCCCTCCAAAAATGTATGGCTTTCTGCCGAAATCAGCAGTAGCTGATATAAGGTGAATCAAGGTGTGATGCAAGAGACTTCTTGCTTACACAGGGAGGAAAAACAACTCCGTCCTGGAAGTTTCTAACTTCTTAAACATCAAGGTTGCAGTTTTATAGGAATATGCCTCCAAATAGGTGGAATAAGAGAGGAGAGGCAGGAACAATAAAAATGGTTTTTCCATCTTGAGTGTACGGGGGGGGGAAATTCCAGAAGTTGTAAAACAAATTTTAGTACCTGCAATTCAGACTACTTCCAGAATATGTTCATTTGATAATAACCTAAAAATGAAAATACCAGCTCTTTGGATTGTTCCAGTTGGGCAGGGCGGGGCGGGGGGGCAGGGGCAGCTCTCCAGGGACTTGGATGAATCTGTTCCAGTGAATAATGCCAGGCTTAGATCGCGAGAACGGCAGGAGACTTGGAGAACAAGCAACAGGTGTTTAGTTTGAGCATCAAGCTCTGAGCAGAGTGGAAATGTGAATGTCTACATCTGGGCACCTAATAATGAAGGGATTTTGTTAAGGCTGTTTGTGCCAGCCACCAGCCAGTTTTCTCCCTGCTGCTTTCTATATGCTCGCTGTACTGGATGAGCTCACCCGTTTCCTGTCTCCAACATGCATCCAGTACAGTGGAGACTGCTTGCCATGCCTTACTAGCCCAAACACAGGCAGCATTTCCAGTGATGCTGCCTGCAATGGGGATGCAGACTGGGTGAGAATGGCTCATGAATCAGTCGCTAATCTGCCTGAAATGCACATTCTCAGGCAATCGCTAGGACAGGTCAGTGGCTTCCACAGAACTGGGAATGAGGAGCAAGGTTAGATTCCACAGGGTGAGAACTAGCACAGGAATTGGAAACAGGCTGCCAACTTTTTTAGCCATCAGACATTTAATGCAAAACTTTAGTCTATGTATTACATCATAGCTCATTTGGATTAATAACATTACATTTTAGTTCTAGGGTGCGTGTTTGGTTCTCTGTATGATGTAATTGTATGTACCCATCATACATAGGAACCACGAAAACAGCAATAAAAAAATACAGCTCCTCTGCTATTGGGAGTAATATAATTTATGAGAATGAGATGCAAAACATGGTTTCCAACCTTTTCTATGCATGAAATTCATATTGGATGACTGTAATTTGTTAGGACAATCCTCCAAAAGTTCACTATGGTCACAAAAAAGTCTGGATTGTTAAAATATGTTGCCTTGCAAATGCTGCTATCTTTACTGTAATGCAATAAAATCATTTTGTGCTGCCAGAGACTAGAACTTGTGATTAAGCCTTTATTTATTAGCCTCAACCACAGATGTTGCAATAATTTAGAGTACAAACCAATGTTGCTCCTAAACTTTGGGAAATCCTCTGGCCCACACTTTTCCCACTTTCATAACAGGCATCAGGTCATAACTTTTCAATTTAGTTGATCATGATTTTTATATATTATTTTAATTTGCTTTTAATTATGCTTTTATTAATTATGCTTCCCACCCTTTCTGAGAGTTGGAGGGCATTTGGAGGGCACCCAGGTTGAGAAAAGCAGAGTTAATAGGATTGTACTTTGAGTCTCTTTAATGAGTGGAAAAATTAATTTAGTGAATATTAGCAGCTTTTCATAATTACGACAGATCCTATTAGTATCATGTAACAAAGTTTGTTGAGTATGTTATATTCAGTAAGTCAGTGTCAAATCTTACTTTTTCTGGCATGGTGAGTTGTCAGTGACATTAGGTGTGAATTCAAAGCAGACAAGGGAAGGAGGACAGCTGTGTGGAGAACAAAAATCATTTTGTCATACATGTCATAAAGATTTTAAATTCAGCAGAGAAAGAAATGTGTTCTGATTTCTTAAATGTGAAAGTTGTACAGGAAGCTTGTTAAATAAAGCAGATATCAAGGGTTGTAGTGTATGTTTCTGCACCAGGAAGCAGCCCTATATTGTTACTTTCAAATACCTTCTGCTAGCTTTATTTAAAAAAAAAATTACAGATGCCTGAATTTTAAAGGACAAACAGGCAATTATTCATGAAATCCATCAAATACATATGTAATTTGCTCATACATGAATGAGCATGGAATTGAAAACTTGCAGTGAAAAGAAGAGTGGATTTAGTTCTACCAAGGAGAATATCATCTAATGCATGTTTAAGAAATTAGTCCCAATGGATTCATGTAGGCTTCTCTCAAGTATCTGCATGTAAGGATCTGCAATTCTACATATTTGTAATTGTATAGAACAGGAAGGACAATCTGCAGCTTGAGAGCCACACATGTCCTTTAAAGGCTCCTCTGATCATGATCGCTGAACATTGGCAGCATAGTTTCTTGACACGTTGTGGTGGGGAACAGATGGGCACTCAAAGATAATACATTTTACACCCCCCCCCATTCCTCCTAACTCTTTAGCCACCTGTATGTGTTATGTCTCTGTAGTTTAAAGCCCTCTGACCACACCCCTCCCTGTTAAGGGTTGCTCATCCTTAATTTAGATATGATATAAAAGATCTTATATTTTTTTAATTCCTGGACTAGGTTTGCAAACTATGGAGAATTGAAAATATGGTAGAGTTTCATTTCAGTTCAGGTCAAATGAGGAGAATTCATTATAATCACAATCTAGTAATGATTAATGCTGTTCTGTAGCAAATTAAAGAAACTCTCCAATTTGAACTCAACTTCTGGTGGCTTCATAGAGATGTCCATATAGCTTTCCTGGCAACAATATGTAAGCGGTTTGCCATTGTCTTCTCAATTTTTTACAATTTCCTGGTAGTCTCTCATCCAGTCACTAATCCAGTCTAACCTTGATTAGCTTTTTGAGATTAGCCAAAGTCTGATAGATGCTGTTAAAGCATCACGTTTTGATTTAGATGTGAAATAGCACTATGAAATAGCACTCTTTTAGGACTGTGGCAGGGCTCAATAATGAACTTTAACCTTTGAATCCTGATCCAGAGAACTGCATATTTGCTACTGGTTTAGGTAAGAGAGGCATGAAACCAAGACTAGTTAGCATCATCTCACTGCTGCAGTGGTCACAGGAGAGAGTGCTGATCAGTTCTGCATGTTGGATAAATCCTTGTATAAAATCTTATTTGTATTTGTGGAAAATGTCAAAATACATGTATTTTGCCTGCATCACAAACAATAAACATAGGCATGTTAAATATAAGCAGGAAGAACAGTTAGGATAAATATTTATTTCTGCATAACATCTCTTGAGTCATGAAAAACAACACTCTATTCACGTGTACACTTAAAACTTTTTAATAAATTACATCCAAGAAATTAAGCAGTTGTGACCAGGAAATGTGAAATTAAAAGTAAATATACTACTGCCAGTTGCATTTTATTCTCTTACTGTGATTTCAAAATGTTGGGATTGATACACAAAAACCGGATAACCGTTTTAAAAAAGAGCCCTCCAAAACGCTGAACAGAAATAATGCAGAATGTCATTCAGTCCATGAGTTTTTAGTGTCCAGAAAGCTAAATTGATCTTTCTGCACATCAGCAACTTTTTAAAATACTAGCAGTCTCTCTTCATGGACTACTCTGCATTGCATGGCTATTAAGAGACTTACTTGGAATGTTACAAAAGATCATCCAGTACACAATAACAAAGCCTTTTAATCTTATTAGATCTGTACTTTATCTAAATTTATCCATACATTTTATTCAATGCAGTTTTTTCCTTTAAATCTTTCATTGCGTAACATGAATCTGAGGAATTTAGACAACAGTGAGAGTCTTCTAAGAGAAGAATCTGGGCATCGAAAATAACTTCAGAAGCAAGGCTTTTCATTATGTAAATCTGACTTAGTCTACTTTTGGCACAAAAGCAGCTGGTGTGATACTGTGTTCAAAGCACAAGGCATATGGAATTGGGTAGCCTAGACTCCTACTCCACCATCACTGAACAAAGAGTAGCCTGTGTACGTGGGTATGGTCCATTTCTCAGAGCAGCCACTCCCTAGCCCCTGTGGTCGAGTGGATGCTGTGGTTCTGGCATGCATGGCTCAATGCTACAACTTTCTTGCAAAAGGCAAGACTGCATTCTCTCCTAGCTGATGACTGGAGAGAATGTGCTTACAGCAAGGCCTTGGCTTCTTAACCTTAGTTCTCCATCTGCAACACGGAAATAACACAACTTACTCCCTACTGGAACAGGCGGAGAAAGTCTGAAGCTGGTGGATGAGTCTGACTACAAACGTAGCAGAAGCTCTGCAGGAAAGACCAGTATCTCATCTCCACTGCTGATACCCATTCCATGGATCTAATGAGGTGGTAGGTACTACAGAAGGATGAAGCATTCCATACACAAACTGGGTTTAAAAGATGTGCTAAAGTGGTTTGTGTTAAGCCATTTCCAAATTGTAAAAAGAACTATGCCTTTTTTCCCCCTGTCCTGGAAAATCCCTATTCTTTGGTCCTATGCTCCTGCCTACATGTATATACCATGAAATTCATGACCCTTTGGAGAGAAACAGGCAAAAACTTTATCGAAAGATTCCCATTTGTTTCTTGCACACACAGAACTTCCAGCGTATGGCACCCACTCATATATCTCAATGGGAAAGTCAGTTTGACATTTGCAACCTTTCCAGGACCCTGACTAGCAAGCAAGAATCAGGGTTGATTCTCATCACTGACTGTGCCCCTAATTCTCTTCTAGCTATGCAAGTCCTGCTGCTTGTGGCTGGAGCCATGCCTGGCAGGAGAACTCAGCTCAGAATCCTTCTCATATTAGGGGCAACTTGGAACTTGAAAAAGCCTGAATGTTGAAACCACACAGATATTTGTTTGTTTGTATTTATTTATTTATGCAATTTCTATAGCCACCCCTCTCAGTCCAAGTGAGTACCCTCAACCCTGATACTTGAAACCACTGGTGAGCTTGTAAGATCTGGTTTTGTGTACAATTGTTTGTTAACACCTCCCCCCCAAAAGCTAAAAACATATAAAAATAAAATTTAAAATGTTTGATATTGCCTTTTTATTTTACTCCCAGCGCATTCATTCCTACAGGAGTAGGAATTGCTTGGAGCGTTTTTTTCTCCATCTGCCTTCACACAATGTGACCACTGTTTTCAACAGATTGGCCAACTGGCTAACCTGAACAAAATCCAGTCTTTCACCCCACTTCACGAATAGGCAACTACAAGTTGCTTGTGCAAGTTCCAAATGCGGACAACCAGTGGGCTTGGCTATGGGGAGAATCAGTATGGTTAGATCACCCTAAGGAAGCTGTGCTCAGGCGCCCAACTGAAACTAACGACTCCATTCTTGGCATGGCTTTACTTGATCATGGCTGAAAATGGCCAAGAAATGGGGATCCTTTCCAGCACACCCAACTTGCACGAGGGGTGGACCCTCTTTCCTGTTGTTTTTCGGGGTTAAAATCTGCAGTTTGGCTATTCATAACATCCCAGACAATAACAACGTTATATGGCTTCTACAAAAAGAGCGTGGATTCCAAATTCATGAAAGGATTAAGAAAGACTAAACATGCTCTTGTGCAGAACAGAGACCTTATCAGTAACAGCCATGTCCATAAATGTCAACCCTTTCATTTCAGTGGGATTCTGACTTCAGACTTAATTAGTAATGGGGAATACATGAAAATACAATCAAATCACACCTTGGTCCCACGGGTATCAAAAAAAGAAGTGCATGCTTAAATGATTGCCCTGAAATCAATGGGTCTTAAAAATTTAACTATGGCTAGATTGTGCCTGAAAGCATGCACTTGAGGAAAAATGAAGAGATGAA